GAGGTTAGTTTATTATTCTTTATTATGATTCTTGTTATTGTTATTACTATTATTTATTGGTACTATTAGTGGTTACTGGTAGTATGTTACTAATAATACTTATCATCATCATCATCATTATTATTATTATTATTTATTATTAATATTATATTATTATTATTATTATTATTATTATTATTATTATTATTATTATTATTGACATTATTCTATATATTACTTCGTATACATTGTATATATTTTAAAATTTATTTTACTTACAGCGTTCGTAACTGCATAAGGTCATGTGAGCGCGCGGTACACATTAAGCTTTTTTTTCAGTTTGTAGGAAATTTTGAATTTTGTACGAATGACGGCCGAAGTCTACTTTTATCGATTTCAGGACCACCAATGGATCTTTAATATGCTCCACTTTCACACGGGGCTTCCGCGATTTTCGCCCTTATCCGAGAAGGCTAGGTGTAGATCTTTCCTACAAGACAAGCTGGGGTGTGGCTGAAAGACAGCAGTAAGAAGGAGCCTAGGAGCCTCAAACACATAAACAGACAAACGCATACGTAGACAGGCAAAGACACACCACACACCCACTCACAAAAACTGACACAAGCCACCCATCACACACACAAACACAAACACACACACACACACACACACACACACACACACACACACACACACACACACACACACACACACACACATATATATATTTATTTTTTTAAAAATATTTTTTGTTTGTTTAAATTTATATAATATATTATATATTATGCACAAACGGGTACACATTTGCACAACCTGACATCAATATCACAATATCACTACTACTGCAAGAGCTGCGGAGCTGGCCTACCATAGAAAACTGCATCACCCCCAAGACGCTTAACGGCAGCAGAGGACGAAAAAGTAAAAGTAAGTAAAGTGAGAAGGAATGGACAGCCATGATCGCCGATGTCTGTCGCGGATCTGGCACTGGATGATGATGATGATGAAGTAAAGTAAGGCATCCAATTAATGAACATCATACGAAACTGCACAGGAGACGAAACAAAAAAATGGAGGAACTGACAGCCTTGAGAAAACAGCAATCATCCAAGAAAAGAAACACTAGCGTCATTATAGAACAGACAACGTTACAAACAGGTGAAGGAAGATAAATCGATAGATAGGGTACCAATCACGCCTCGGTGTTCAATCTTTGAAGCTCATTGTTCGTTCAAGGACATTCATTTTTAATGTAATCATCATTGCCTTTCTCACCCTGGACCAGGGTATAGGCCACGGACAAACACTTTCTCACCCTGGACCAGGGTATAGGCCACGGACAAACACTTTCTCACCCTGCACCAGGGTATAGGCCACGGACAAACACTTTCTCACCCTGCACCAGGGTATAGGTCACGGACAAACACTTTCCACCTTTCCCTATCCTGGGCTAGCCTCTTGATGTTATTCCATGTCTTCCTACTTTTCTGTACATCCATTTCTGTGATTCATCTCCAGGTTCCACGCAGTCTTCCCCTTGATCTCTTACCCTGTGGGTTCCAATCCAAAACTCTCGCAGCTGCCTGACTTCCTGAGAGTATATCCAATCCATCATTTTTAAAGTAATCACTGCCAAAAAGTAAAGGCTATCCTCCTTGGCTTGAACAATAGCAGTCCGTTTTCCAAAGCCAAGATTTGTAAAGTTGACTGCAGGCAGCAATGTTGACTAGATTCTATACAAGTTATGTTAGTTCAATACTGTGTCCAGAACCCTTTTAGCAGACAGACAGTAACTTGTCTTTTCTAGCAGGGGTGAGAGAGGTATTGATGTGTGTCTGTGTGTTTGTGTATGTGTGTGTATGTGTTTGTATGTGTGTGTGTGTATGTGTGTGCGTGTGTGTGTGTGTGTGTGTGTGTATGTGTGTGTATGTGTTTGTATGTGTGTGTATGTGTTTGTATGTGTGTATGTGTGTGTATGTGTGTGTGTGTGTATGTGTGTGTGTGTGTGTGTATGTGTGTGTATGTGTTTGTATGTGT